CAGCCTTCCACAAACAGAGGCCAGGGACACCATTTCTACCTCCTGGCTAATACCACTCCATGGACCCAACCTCCATGACTTGATCTCACTTCCCTTTAAACTCTGTTCTAGTTGTAGCCTTCACAGCCTCCTGCAGCAAGGAGTTCCACAGGTTGACTATTTGCTTTGTGAAGAACAACTTTCTGTTGTTAGTTTGAAGCCTGCTACCCATTCATTTCATTTGGTGTCCTCTAGTCCTTCTATTATGGGAACTAACGAAGAACTTTTCTTTATGCACCCTCTCCACGCCACTCATGCTTTTCATAGAATCATAGAATAATAGGACTGGAAGGGACCTCGAGAGGTCATCGAGTCCAGCCCCCCGCCCTCAAGGCAGGATCAAGCTCCGTCTACACCATCCCTGACAGATGTCTATCTAACCTGTTCTTAAATATCTCCAGAGAGGGAGATTCCACCACCTCCCTTGGCAATTTATTCCAATATTTGACCACCCTGACAGTTAGGAATTTTTTCCTAATGTCCAATCTAAACCTCCCCTGCTGCACTTTAAGCCCATTACTCCTTGTCCTGTCCTCAGAAACCAAGAGGAACAAATTTTCTCCTTCCTCCTTGTGACACCCTTTTAGATATTTGAAAACCGCTATCATGTCCCCCCTTAATCTTCTTTTTTCCAAACTAAACAAGCCCAGTTCATGAAGCCTGGCTTCATAGGTCATGTTCTCTAAACCTTTAATCATTCTTGTCGCTCTTCTCTGTACCCTTTCCAATTTCTCCACATCTTTCTTGAAATGTGGCGCCCAGAACTGGACACAGTACTCCAGCTGAGGCCTAACTAGTGCAGAGTAGAGCGGCAGAATGACTTCATGAGTTTTGCTTACCACACACCTGTTGATACAACCTAGAATCATATTTGCTTTTTTTGCAACAGCATCACACTGTTGGCTCATATTCAACTTGTGGTCCACTATGACCCCTAGATCCCTTTCCGCCATGCTCTTTCCTAGACAGTCGCTTCCCATCTTGTATGTATGGAACTGGTTGTTCCTTCCTAAGTGGAGCACTTTGCATTTCTCTTTATTAAACTTCATCCTGTTTACCTCTGACCATTTCTCTAACTTGCTAAGGTCATTTTGAATTATGTCCCTATCCTCCAAAGAAGTCGCAACCCCACCCAGTTTGGTATCATCTGCAAACTTAATAAGCGTACTCTCTATCCCAATATCTACATCATTGATGAAGATATTGAATAGTACGGGTCCCAAAACAGACCCTTGCGGAACTCCACTTGTTATCCCTTATAGAAGCCACATCTAAGTTGTATTTCCCCAGTTAATTGATTTTAGGGATGTTGAATATCGGTTAATTGAATAGTTGATTAACCTCATGAATTTTTATTGGTTAGTCATCTATTCTCTAGTCCCAGGGAATGAGGCCAGCAGTCAGTGCACTACATCCTCACTCCTGAGGAGCCCCCAGCCGCTCCGTGCTGCTGCTGCCTCTATCGGAGGCAGCAGTATGGGGTGCCAGGTGGGAGCTGGTCCATGAAGGGAGCCAGTTTAAAAACCAGCTCCCCTTGTGGACTGGCTGCCTGTCATCCTGAGCTGCTGCCTAGTGTAGGGTGGCAGCAGCCCCTGACTGGGGGAAAGCGGGGCTTGTCTCCCAGACCCTGCAAGAGATGGAACTGAGCTGGGCTGCCTGCCCACCTGGCTCTTCATACACTTTAAATGCAGAGCCACAGCAGGGATAGGTCCCGGACCTGGCACAAGCCAGAATTGAGTTGGGCTGGTGGTCAGCCTGCTTAACAAATTTACTGGCAAAGGGAAGCGGGGAAGGAAATGCGACTAGTCTATAGCATTAGCCTATAAGCTTTTGCTTATCAGTTAATCCGTTAATCGACTACACTATTAAATCCAAAATAGATATAAAGATCATGCAAGACCATATCAAATGCTTTACTGAGATGTGGTTGAAACTCCTAAATGGAAGGAAGCTGTAGATGAGTGATTGGTGGTAGTGTTTTTCCTGCCTTACACTTCACATCTATCCCCACCTTTCTCTCCAGGTGAATCAGCGCAATGTCCCAGGGATCGATAGTGCCTACCTGGCCATGGATACAGAGGAGGGTGTGGAAGTTGTTTGGAACGAGGTTCAGTTTTCTGAGCGTAAGAACTTTAAGCTTCAGGAGGTAAGAGTGGAGGCTGTCCTGCAGCTTGTGCCGAGAATATGGCTAGACCGTGGTGGCTGAGTATAGTCACATAGCGCAGAGTTACAAACTCAGCTGATCTGATAGGAGCACTGAATTGCTCTGTTCTCCAATTGCATGTGCAGGCGTCTGGGCATGATTGGAACTACACTCTCTTGTGCTCCCAGTGCAGAAAGTATGACAGGCTGGGTCTGTCAGGCTCTTCTCATTAGCTGAGGAACACAGTTTGAATCTGTCAGTATCAGTGGCCAAATACTCCCCTAACTGTGGCTGGAGATGAAGTTATGCATGTGTATCTCACATCAGGGTCAGATGCTGCTGGAGTCAAGTACACTATGGGTAGTGCGTAGCGTTGGAATGTCTGGCACCTCAGACATAGGAGAAGAGGAGGTTGGAGAATGAATAGGGATGTTTCCAGGCTTAAAATGGTAATGTAGCTCTGCTTTTCTGGGTGTCCCAGGAGAAGGTTAAAGCGGTCTTTGACAACCTGATCCAGCTGGAACACCTGAATATTGTGAAATTCCATAAGTACTGGGCTGATGTAAAGGAGAACAAGGCCAGGGTAAGTAGTGTGAGAAGCTCTTCTTACTTGCTACTTCCCCTCTACCCTGCAGTGGCTAAAATCTCATCTTGTCCCTGCAGGTAATCTTCATCACTGAGTACATGTCCTCAGGGAGCTTGAAACAGTTCTTGAAGAAGACAAAGAAGAACCACAAGACAATGAATGAAAAGGTAATCTCTCCTCCTGCATGTGAGCCCTATTTTGATTGGGCCCTTTCCCTCAGAAGAGCTGAGCCCCTTGCTGCAGATTGCACTGTCCCTGCCTGAGGTAGAAGTTCCATTCAGCTACCATTCCTGGGAAAGTCAGCTAGCATAACCAGGGGTAGCTCTCCAGGAAAGTACTCAGCAGTTGGATGTAACTCTGCAGAGAGGGTGTGAGTTTTGGGAGGGCACAGATTGTGCCCACTTCTCTTCCACTCAGGGACATGTAAGAGGGGCTCTGCAGTCATCCTAGAGGACAGAAAGGAGGAGGGGGATTTCTTGGTCACTACGTGAATGTGGGAAGTTAGGTTGAGCATGGGAGTGAGTTCCCATGGTTACTGTTCACCAGTAGAGCTGGAATGGGATGGAGCTTAGGTCAGGTCTACACTGGGGGAGAAATTTAATTGAAGCTCTGCAATTCCAGCTACGAGAATTGCATAGCTGGAGTTGACATAAATCGAATTTCTGTGGCAGTCCCACTGTGGGAGGTCGACGGGAGACTTCCCTTACTCTTCGTGACCCTGTGGAGTACAGGGGCCCGTGGATGCGCCCTCAACATTTAGTGGGTCCTTACTAGACCCATTAAATTGAACCCCAGAAGATCAATCTGAAGCCACAGTCTTCCTGTAAGTGTAGACAAGGCCTTAACATAACCTAGGCTGCAGCAGGAGATGAGCTGAATGGGCAGCAATTAGTCCTGCTTGCTGATTGTGACTTGTACTTTGCCTTGTGTTTGTAGGCCTGGAAGCGCTGGTGCACCCAGATCCTTTCTGCTCTCAGGTAGGTGAAATAGGAAGATGCCCTTTGTATGAATGTCCAGCTGTGCAGAGTTTGGGTGCCTGAGCCAGTCGGCCTGATTGGCTGTGTGATAGAAGAATGCCTAATTAGGCAGATGCAGTCTAGACAAAAGTCTTACCAGTAGACTTGGTTTCAAATAGGATCACCTCCCCCTCCCTCTTGTGCTGACAATCCTCCCCCTCCCAAGGACCAGAAGCACCTTCAGACTGGTCCTACAGGCAGCTGGGGGCTCTGTTCTGGTGAGCCTCAGGTGACTTTGAAAGTTGTATATTCATTCACCACATCACCAGCAAGTTACAGAACTGGAGTGGAATATTCAGCTGGGCGAAGAGGAAGCCCTCTTTCACCCTAGCCTTGTCCCCGCGTGTGTGTGGGGGTCACTACCATTTTAACAAGCACAGATATCCAGAAATAGTTGGGGAGCCGGGGAGCCCCTCAGGTGCAGGGTGGATATAATCTCTACTTCTGGCTCCGTAAAGAGTCTGCTCGAAGGGCTGGGGAATAAAACCTTCTCTCTACTGAGAGAGAGAGAGGTCGAAGAACTGGGGAATAAACCTTCTCTCTACTGAGAGAGAGAGAGAGAGAGGCAAATAATGAAGACTGACTTTGTAAAGTTGAAGGTGCATGTCCTGACTGGATGCAAGAATTTGATGGAGTGTGTCCCCAGCAGGGTGACTACAGTTGACTTAGCTACCCCAGTGTATGGCTCTCAATCCCACTGTTCCTGCTGCCCTTTTCATTCTGGGTTAGGCTCCCAGTGCCCTCTGGGACCAGCACAGTGCAGCGGATGGTTCTGGGTCCCATAATGCACACCTCTCCTTCCTCCCTCCTGCTTGAAAGCACCAGCAAACAGTCTTTTTGCCCTCTTTTTTTTCCCCCTGGTTATCCTGCAGATGCCATAGCAAGGTAAGCATGGAACCCAGCCTGGAACCTGCTCAGCAGCAAAGTACTATGGCAATGAAACCATCTTGCACCTTATGCTACATTATGTCCAGGGCCTGCCAGAATGAGGAAGAATTTCGGGAGGCCATTGAACATTACTCTTAAGCTGAGCGAGTGACAAATGCTGCCGGCATTCAGTTCTATTCCTGCAGTGGAGCGCTGGCTCTGGTGCAGGGAGATGAGCACAGACTGGTGGGATCGCTTAGTTATGCAGCTGTGGGATGGTCAGCAGTGGCTGCAAAACTTAGGCATGCGTAAAGCTACTTCTATGTAAGTTTGTGAATGGCTTTCCCCACCCTGACGCCCAGCAGTACTGGAGTGAGACCCGTTCTGACAGTGGAGAAATGTGGCAGTAGCCCTGTGGAAGCTTGCAATGCCAACTATCTACCATCCAGTTGGGAATCCATTCAGAGTAGGGAAATCTTCAGTGGGGTGGTTGTGATCCAGGTAGCAAGGCAGTTAATACCTTGCTGCTACAAAGGGTAGTGTCATTGAAGGCTTTGCTGCGATGGAGTTCTTAACTGTGGAGTGAGAGATGGAACGCACATCCTTATCTTGGCACCCAACCACCTTGCGAAGGAGTACATAAACTGCAAGGGGCACTTCTCGATGGTGCGTGGGGCCATCTCACCGACATCAACATGGGATGGTTGGGAAAGGTTCATGATGCGTGCATGTTTAGGAACGCCTGTCTCTTAAGGAAGTTGCAAGCTGACGCTGAAACTTTCTTCCCAGACTGGAAAATTACCTTCGGCAGTGTTGAAATATCAATAGTGATTCTCAGAGGCCCAACCTACTCCTTGCTTCCGTGGCCCATGAAGTTGAGGACCCCAGTAAGGAGCAGTTCTACAGGCTGAGCAAGTGCAGAAATGTGGTAGAATGTGCTTTTAGATATTTAAAGGGAAGGTTTTGTAGTTTGACTAGGTTAGATCTCAGCAAAAGCAACATTCCCATTGTTGTGGTGGCCTGCTATGTGATCATGATATCTGTAAAAGTAAGGGGAAAGTTTTATGCCAGGGTGGATGGCTGAAGCCCAGTACTTAGCCAGACACCAGGGCTATAAGGAGAGTACAGCGAGGGGCACTAGAAATCAGAGGGGTTTGAAAAACAGCTTTGTGAATGGCCAGTGAGATGAGTCGTGCATGTTGCTCTTAACGAGATGCATTCTGCATTAAGTGTCTTTGCCAGTAAACCTCCCACCTCCCTTCAGCACAAGCAATAAACATGGTGGTTGAGAGGGCATGCGTTTTTACTTAAGGAAGCAGGGACAGAAAAAGAGCCCAAGGCAGGAGCTTTGGGGGTGAGGGGAAGAGAAGGGAAAGTGGCGTATTACAGTCACAGGTGTGAGAAGAACAGCCTTTTGCTCCTGGATGCATCCCTGGGGGTTCATGTAAGGATGCTCATGACTTCCCAACTTCCCTGTGCACCTCTTCCTCCACATGCTAGATCCTTTGGGGGGGAGGAAGCTATGGAACTTGGGAATGTGGGTCTCCAGGGGCTGGTGGGGTGCCTTGCATATAGCTGTCCTGGAGGTCCTCCATTGTACATCACCTCCACCATGACTGTCAAGACTCCCTCCTAGGTCTTCACTCTGTCCTGTCTTCATGCTCTGCTCCTGCAGCAGCGTATTCCTCCACGTGTTTAAGCGCTCACTGTCTAAGTAGGCATTTGCTCCTTGAACATGTTTTCCCTAGTATGTTTTCACCTTCAGATTTGTGCTAGCCAGACAGCTGCGTGCTTGCTGCTGCACCCTCTAACAAAAAGTGAAAGGCAGACATTACTTCCTGCCTCTCAGGGTGGTTAAACACTGGAATAAGTTGCCTAGAGAGCTTGTGGAATCTCCATCCCTGGAGATATTTAAGAGCAGGTTTGACAGACACCTGTCAGGCATGGGCTAGATGGAGCTTGGTCCTCCCATGATGGCAGGGGACTGGACTTGATGACGTTTTGAGGTCCCTTCCAGTTCTAGCATCCTAGGAGTCCCACTCCGGTGCCAGACATAACAACAAGCTGTTCCAGAGAGCCCCTGCTGTGTAGGCAGAGTGGCTGCCACAGATCGCACTCGGTTGCCTTAACCCACTTGTAACGTGATAAAAGCTTGTCAGAAATGCCCTCCCCGCCATCAGGGCCTGGCAGTGAGACGTCCTGGAAGGACAGGATTGTCTCTCAAATTATAAAAAGGGTCCTAGCTGTCGGTGAGATTGGATGCTCCGCTTGCCTGCTGCCTGTTCTCCGCCTACTCTACCTCGTCCACACTGTCCTCCACGCTGCTGCCTGAGGAGTGTCTTGGGGGGAATCCACAGGCTGGCTTTGGAAACTGGTCTGGTCCAACCCTAGAATCCCATACAAGTCATAGAAGCAGCGTGTTTGTGGCGATGATCCTGATTGTCTGTTTGCCTCCTTGTTTTCTACTAAGCCTTCCTGAGCGCCTTTATTTTCACGTGACACTGCCGGGCATCCCCGGCGTATCCTTTCTACACCATGCTCTCCGCGATCTTGGCATAGATATCAGCATTTCTTTTGCTGCTTCATACTTCTGCCTGAACAGACTCCTCTCCCCACATCGCAATCTCCTGCACGCTCCATGCTGGGGCTTGTTTGCGACCCTCGGAATTCGTGGTCAGGTGTGCTGCCTGCTGTGAGATCTGCTTGCCATGCTGGCCATACAGGAAATGAAATGAAGATTTTCCCAGAGCTTTTCCTGTTCACCTGGACAGCAGCAGAGTTGAAAGTCCTGGCCAGAGTGGACAGCAGGGCACTGTGGGGCACCTCCTGGAGGCCAAGAATATTGACTTTTACAGTGCTGCATCTGCACTACCCTAAAGTTGACCATTACTCACAAGCAGGAGTACCAAAATCAACTTTAATGGGATGGGCTTTGTAGTGTAGACTCATTGTACAGAAAATCAACGTAATGTGGCTAAGTTGGACCTAAACTCCCAGTGTAGACCAGGCCTGAGACCTGTGTGAACTGTGAGTGTGTTAGTGTGCTCTCTGGAACAAAGGCTAGGCCTAATGTCTGTATGGTACTGTGTACTTCTTGGTTTGCAGTAAATAAGATCCGAATGGTGTCCCTTTTGAGGCGGACTCTGCTGTCAGACTGTGGCTTGCCTCAGTATACTGTCTGAATGTCTTTGAAACCCCTGTGGACAGTTTTCTATGCATGAGAAATTGGGATGAATAATCCTTCCCTTCCCCATTCTGGGCTTTTGGGGTCTCTTTTTTGCATCTCTTAGCAGGAGCTCAATGTTTTGTTTTCTCTGTCTCCTATCCCAAAGACTGTCCACACCCAGTTCCTGAATTGTAATGCCCTGGTATTGTAAATATTCTTGGCATGTTTTGTAAGGAGGAGGAGGAGCTGTGGTTTTCCCCTTCCCAAAACAATCTTCACCAATATTTTGTTCTAAATTTCCAGCTACCTCCACTCTTGTGATCCCCCGATCATCCACGGTAACCTGACCTGTGACACCATCTTCATTCAGCACAATGGACTGATCAAGATTGGGTCAGGTAAGACGCTTCAGAGATGACCACAACAGCAAATCCGTTAATGTGGTCAATCAGCAGTGGGTGCTTGGTTCCCGAGTTTCTGTAAAGCCACGGGTAGGGATATCTGGGGTATGACACTTCCAGTCAGACGGGGAGAGGGCTGGGGGGGGGGGTCTACCCTACCTCTTCTCTTCTGGGGGCACTGAGGTGCTCGGTGGCACAAACTGCTTTTCTGTTGTCAGTTAGGTCTGAGTTTGGTTTGTGTCCCCGGTGGGAGGGACTGAAACCAAAACTGGCATTGGAAATTCGCTGAGTCTCATCTGTGAGCAGAGTCTTCAGGTGCTTAAACCACTCCTCAGAATCAGACCTTCCACAGGGACTACTCGTGCCTCTGCCTATTCACACTTAGTCATCCACAGTGCTATTGATTTTTGGGAACTGCCCAGAGAATTGTTCACTAAGGCCACATGAGTGCTCTCTTGGGGGCACCATCTGTTGAGAGCCCGTTATGGAAGGATTCTGTGACCCGCACTCCCATGGCTAGCTGCTTGCAGTGGGCCACAGTTCATCTCAGTGATGACATTGACCTGTGCCTCCTTCATCAGTGTTCAGACCTCATGCCTCACCGCGCACACCAACCTAGAGTCGCTCCATCTGGTCTGGGCCACAGGACCTTGTGTGATGCAAAGTCACTTGAACTAACCTTGGATCATGAAGGGCCTGTCTGAACTTGAGTGTGTACTAGACACTAGGAAAGGACTAGGTCTAATGTCTATGCAGTACTGGCTGCCTTCGTGGTTCCTAGTAAATAAGATCAGAATCGTGTTCCTTTGGGGTGGACTCTTCAATTGCTGAAATATGAATGTCGGCAGTTGGAGAGACTTTTCTTGGGGCAATGAAGAGCTGTATGCCTGCTCTCTGCCACCATCTCATTTGTGTTGCTCTTCTCAACGCCACTAGGACTTGTAGCCAAGGTGGGCTCTCTGCCATCCTGGCATGCCATCCTCCAGCTGACAGTTCTGCTGTCTTTGAGCATTCCATCATGCCTAGTGGATCTAGCCAAATGCCTAGCAGATGTATTGAGGCTGACTAGAGACTTGTACCAGTTTGGTGCTGCCAGTGTTTATGGATTTGCCACTGGAACCAGTTGGTTTTACCTGCTGCCTGAAGAGAATGTGCAAACGTGATCATGCCTGCAGTTCTTGTGGCTGATCCTCCTTCCCTGTGCTCCAAGGAGACACTGGTGTCCTCATCTCAAATGTATGCCATGTGTGGTATCTGTATGTCTTCTAACTTCGAACACAAAACTCTGGTTCCTCAGGGATCCATACAGCAGGTGTCTGGCTCAAAGCATGCATGGGAGGGAAAATCCTCTGCAGGTGTGATATCCCTTAGGGATCCAGCAGAGGAATGTCACCTCCACGCTGGTGGCTCACGCTTTGCAGTGAGCCCTAAAGCCAGAGTTGGGGAATCTTAGGGCTCTGGGCTTACTCCAGTCTTCTGATAAGATTAACGTTTAGGGTCACTTCCCAGGATTCTCCCCTTGGTGGCAAACCACTTGCAACCACTCCTCCCCCCAAATCATTTCCCCAGGGTCTGCCCATACTACAGAAAGGATTGGACCCCCGAAAGGAGACTTGACTGGGGCTGTGAACCTTCCGTTCTTCGTTTGTTAGGTAAGAATCGTACACAGCTGCAGTCTTTCTGACAGAGCGCTTCATTCAGAGAAGGGGTTGACGCTTGATTTTGGAGTCTTCAGTACTCCTCGTATGCCTTCCTGGAGACGTATGGCTTGCTGGACTCTCCCAAGAGGCACTATGCAGGGGCTGCCTTAAAGGAGGTCACTATGGGCCTTTGAGTGCCACCTCTGCCTAGTCTTGCTGCCTGCTTGCCTTTGCCTGGGTTCTGGTTCTTGAGCGGGCCTTGAAGGAATTGAGGCAGTTGGAGTCCTTCAGCCTTTCTAAGAGCCATGAGGGGAGAAGGTACACAAGTGGTCTAACAGGTTGTGCTTCCTAAAAGATCTCCTCCCAGCACTGGGGAGGGTGTATCCCGTAAGCGTGAATATGCAGAGGCCACACTTAGAATTAGTTACTAGTAGGCAGCCACTCCCTGCTTGCGGCTAGATTGTGCTGGCTGGGACCTTTTTCCTTTTCCCATAGTACAGAAGACAGATTGGAAGCATTTATTTTAAGTAAAGGAGATAAGCATTAAAATGGGGCTATGGTGATGAAAGTTCCCACTTTGTGGTCGCTCTAATCCCTGCTTGCCCTCGAGTCAGAGCTGCTCACTCAGCAGGGCCCGTGCGGCTGTAGAGGAGGGAGATGGAGTCCATGCTGAATAGTGAAGTGCATTATCTGTGTTCTCTCTGACTCTGGGAACCAGCCAAACAGCGTGACGCTCGCATCGTAGGGAGTTACAGGACTGTAGAATTCTTCAGGCTATAAGCATGGAGCCTGTGTTGCCATTTGTCACTTTTCAGAGGTTAGCCAAACTCGGAGAACCCTTGCTGTCCTGGGTGTAACTGGAAGGAGCCGGTTCTGACAGAGTGGGCAGAGGTTGGCAATGCTCAGAAAAGCAGCAGTCATGCCATCTGTATGCCCAGTTCTGTTCCTCACTGCACTGCTGTTAGAGTAGCAGGGCATGGAACTGAAAGCAGGTTCATTTCTCTTTGGGCTGGAGCAATGGGTGATGCTGGCACCCGGAGTAGTGAAGCAGGAGGATGAGGAAAGCTGCCACGTTGCCCTGTGTAAAGGAAGAACACGCAGCCCCCACTGGGTTGGAAGTGTTAAAGATGGATGGTGCTTTGGGGGCAGCTGACTCTCTTAAATAATAGAACACTTGCATAGCAATTGGGTGCTGCAGCCTCAGGAGCTTGGCACTGGCTCTGCCATGCTCCCTCTCGCTATTTGGAGTTTGGGATGGCACGTGCAGTGGCAGGACAGGTGCCGCTCTACATCCCATCTTGGAGCATGACCGTCCCTTTTCTCCACCCATTCTTCCTGGGCATCCCAGTGGGTGTGGAGACTCGCAAGAGGAGTCCCATCAGGAATCCACCTGGGGGTACCCATGTCTCAAACTGGTGGTTGGAGGGTGTGGGTGAGAGAGAAGCAGCTAACCAGGAAGTAGAGCTGTGGGTGTAGGTAGGGTGTGTGGGACAGGGGTTGGGATGGACAAAGAGTGTGGTATAGTAATAGGTGGAGTGCAAAGGCCACCCAAGACTGGGGCCACAGTCCGTCTGTTCCTGAAACCACGTGGCCATTTTCTGTGAGTGTGGGGGAAGTCATCAAGGCAGAGGGAGTAAGGGGTCGGGGCAGACTATACCCGGAGCAAGGGAGAAACCTGCACCTTTCTCCCTGTCAGAAGGCATGTTTTGAGCTACTCTGTGTAATTTGTGTGTTCAGTTAGTCCCCTAGAAATAAAAGCTGCCTGCTTCCCTGTGCATTTCACCAGGTGATGTTACATGTTGCTGTCAGGAGTGTACTGCATTAGGGTAGCAGTTGCCTTTTCTCTAGCATTGGAACTGTGATTGTAGCCTCTCAGAGGATGCAGGGAGCTTTCTTTGGAAAATGCAGCTTGCTTCCAGAGGGTTCAGTGCCCTTCAGATCCTTTGGGTGGATGGGGAGAGAAAGGAACCATGATGGTGGGGAGGGAGGGATGCTGTTTAGCAGGATGGAGGTTTTAGGGAGCTGCAAGGTTGGCCCTAAGGGGCTGCCAGGCATGGACAGAAGAATGTGATGTGAAGTGGAGCTCCAGTGTGGAGTATGGCCGAGGGCTTCTCTCTAGGTTCACAGACCACAGGCTTCTTAGGAATCGCTTTTTGGGTATTAGCAGAGGCCTGAGCCCTGCCAGCTTCTCTTATGGAGGAGTTCTGCATCATTAGGAAGTGTTTGCCCTGGTTGAGCAGTGCCTTGAATAGGGCAGCTTTTAAATGCACAGCAGAGCTGCAAGTCCTTAAACTGAAGCCTTGGTCTGGTGATGAATTCTGGGAGATCCCTAGGTGGAAACGAATCAGGTGGTGTAGTGTGCTCCTTCCAAGTGTGAAGAGCCATTTCTCCGGTGGCTGGGTGTGGGTGGCTTTGGAACATGTTGATTTCAAGAGTTGTAGGGGCAGCTTTGTGGGTGTCACAAATATATTCATAGCAGGTGCCTTAGACCATTCACCAATTGCCACAAGCACCTTTTTGCCCCCTAAGTGTGCTTGGGTTAGATGCATCCAGCGTGGCTTTGTGTAACTTGGGGAACATGGGACTTGCCCTGAAGTTTGTGTTCATCCAGACAGCAAAACCAATTGAGTGCCTAGGCGCATGGTGTGGGTGTGGCTGCTAAAATCCATGTAGTGTAATAAGCTGCCCCTATCTGCCCATTGAGCGGGGATATGGGCTGGTCACTGAATTCTAGTGACTGACTGACTGTGGGAATTCCAGAGCCCTGACTAGAATGCCCTGGTTGGTGGAAGAGGCCCCTCTCCCTTGCCCCTTGACAGTTCTTGGTGTGTGACGCCATCGTGCTCCTGTTGGAGTCAGCAGGTTGGAGGGTTGTTGAAAGGGTGGCCAGCCTCTTCCTTTTGTCCCTGTTTTGCCGTGGATCTACCCAGCTGTCTGTATTGATGTAAAGTGCTTGCTGTTTCATCAACTCATCGACTTCTATCTTGTTTTACTTCCCGCTTACGGGCTGCTCTGTTACCGACAGTCTTTCATAGGATTTTTGCTAATGGTGAGCAAACTTCTCCGCTCCTGTGATGTGACTGTGTCACTATATATATATAATGCACATTATATATATAAAATATGATAACTTATCTATATGGTGTTCCCTTGCTATAAGGCTGGTGTATAAAACTGTCCAGCGTAGGCCCCCTTGCCAGCAATAGCCCCGTTCTGTGCTGGGAGAGAACCTATTCCTTGTGCTCCCAGTCAAAGCCTTACAGAGAGGGACACTGCCTTGTGTGAAGTCTTCTCAGTGTTAGTTCCGTCCCTTCTCCTTGTTCTTAGACTGCACTAGTCTGTGGCCCCATTGCATGC